TATGCCAAGCTGAGATAAATTACACTGGAAGTCTCAATTAAAGAAGGCTAGCTGTTGTGATCAGAGGCAAGCTTAACATGGCACCAGGAGAAGACATCATTGAAGGGCCTTTAGAATCTCTCTTAACTAGGAATTGTCTAAGCCAAGCCTCTGACAGAAACAAAGGTTCTGGCGACAGTCAACTACAGACAGAAATCTACAAGTACCTGGCAAGCAGGTACATTGGTTTACTTAATTAAAAACAATAGGATCTCAAAACTTCAGACACTAGGCAAGTCCAAAGCCAATACTCTGTAATAACAACAAATTAATCTAGCTGGGTATGGTGGTGCATGCCTGTAAGGAGGCTGAGGCAGGAAGATGGGGAGGTTGAGGCCAGCCTGGGCTACAAAGCAAGTTCCTGCCTCTAAAGAAAAAAAAAAAAATCTAAGTAGTGTGAGCCCACACCAAGGGCCACTGTTGCTATACAAGTAAGCTTCACATATAGACTGTCCTGAGTAGCAGTTTTAATTTAGCTTAAATACTGAAAAACATACTTACTTGGCACTCCAGAAAAAACATGGAAGAGAGGAGCTGGAGGTGAAAATTTGGAGCATGTTTTGAGCAGTATGAAACAGCTTGCTCCTTTCTGGGGGGCAGAGGGTGTCAAGGATTGAACCTAGCGCTTTGTGCAGACTGGGCAAGTGCTCCATTCAACAGCTTGTTCCTATGTCCTCTTTACACAGGATGCAATTCAAAGGCCCGTACCACTTTAACAAAAGAAACACTGAGCTGTGATAAGAGTATCAAGAGATCTATTGTCTGTTATGAGGGCTGAATTATGAAAGCAGGGTAGTCTTCTTAAAGGGAATTACATCAAAGAGATTTTATCTTACACTAATGAATAGTAGAAAAGGGGAGACAAGCCAGGTTTGGCAGTGAATGTCTGTAGTCCCAGCTACATGGGAACCTGAGGCAGGGAGCTCACTTGAGCTTATGAGTTTGAGACCAGCCCAGGCAACATAGTGAGACCTTGTCTCAAAAAAACAAAAATAAACAAAACAAAACTCCCAAAAGTATTGTGAAAAGGGGAGATGAGAGTGCATTATTGGCCAAGCACAACGTCTGGGTTTTTGGGGGGATAGGTAGAGCAGTACTGGGGTTTGATCTCAGGGCCCATATCTTGACAGGCAGGTGCCCTACCACTTGAGCTATGAGCTATGTCCCCAGCCCTTTTTGCTTTAGTTATTTTTCGGATAGGGTCTCACATTTCTGCCTGGGCCAGTCTTGGACCACTCCTATATACATCTTGCTTGGACAGGATTGTAGATGTATAGCGACACAATCAGCTTGTTAGTTGAGATGGGGGAAGGAGGGTCCCATTAACTTTTTTGCCAAGGGCTGGCCTAGAGCCATGATCCTCCCAACCTCTGCCTCCATCTCCATGCCCGGCCACATCTGTTTTTAGTAGGCATTAAAAACAGTAGGCAGGGGTGGGAGTGTAGTTTAGTGGAGGAGTGCTTAAGAATGGGCGAGGCCCTGGGCTAGATCCCCAGCACAGACAATAATAAAACATCAGGCACTTACTGTCTATAAAGAGATTTACCTTCCCAGGTTTTATGAGTGGTAAATTGCAGTGTTTAACCTCCTCCATAGGAGAGGATAAATCATAGGGAATGCACTCTTTTTCATCTGTTTTCTACTTGAATTATTACAGAGAGCAGTTCATTTGATCTGACTCCTAAGGCATGCTTTCTTTCTTCTACTTATCAGATTAAGTAAGTAGCAGGTGCTCAATTAATACTCTTTATTGAATGTCTCAGGTGTAACTTCAGATTTGGAAGAATTGAGCGAATAATATTAATAAAGCAAAAATGTAATGCCTCATTCAAAATTTGTTCTTTGTGCATAAACTCACATACCATATATATAATCAGTCTGCTTTTATGGTGACTCTGTTGCTAAAGGAGTTCAGGAAATACCACCCCATTTCAAACTGGGCACACTTGAGGCACAGCAGGTGCAGGGAGGGCTTCCTCTGAGGTTCCCTTATCTAACTGAAGTCAGAGCCTCCAAATATCACAAGAGAAAGTGACAGACCCTCCCTGTTCTGTAGAGAGCTGCAGGGGAGGGGGGAAGGAAGTAACTGCATTACCTGAGAGACTTTTTACCTGTATCACAAGACAGCTGCTGCTCACTATACTCTTCTCCTCTCACTGTCCTAGAACCCAAGCCTCTGTCCCTTCCCCTAGCTAAGCATGCCAGAAACACGCCAGCCATCTGGCACTTCCTCATGTCTCCTATTGCGTGTGGGCATGCCTGTAGTTAAAATGGGTTTCTTCCTATTAATCTCTGTGCTGTTCATTTATTTTACAGCCTCAATTACCAAACCTTTAGATGGAAGAGAGAACGTTCTCTACCTTATACGTGCTTTTATGTTATACAATCAACTTTTTTGGCCACCTAGGAATGACTTCATGAAGAAGAAGAAAACAAAAAATGTTACTATAATATAAAATGTAATCAAAATAATAAAGCAGCACCTTCTCATTAGAGGAAAACTATCCTAGGAAATGTCAGGCAAGTTTCTGAAATTCATAGGAGTTTTTCGTACTAAGGGTAAGTAATATAGAACACTACAGAATAATATTGAGAACACTAAAGATATTTGATTACTAAATATTCTGTATTATGCAAATAATATTTGTCTCCAATTAGCTTTTGTAGCAATTGTGTAAAAATGATTTATATCTTAAAACTTCACATCCTTATGATATCTATAAAATAGTGGTTGTTAGAATGATTGAAAGTCTCCAAATAGGATCAACAGTTTCTCCTTGAAATGCTCACCCAATAACCATGGAAATGTTCACACATGATAAAGGTCAGTTTCCAATTAACAACCTTCAAACGCATGTCATTTTCCAAATGTCACTTATTGACACAGAAAGTTTAAAAGCACTGTAGACAACCAGAACAAATTGTCTACAATTTTTCCTTTTATATTTTATCACTATTTTCAATAGAATATAGTATTTAATAAATTTGTCTTTGATTATATCATGCTCTTCTAAAAAAAAAATCATGTTTTGAAAAAGAAAATGGCTAAATACCAGCAAAATAATTCAAGATTGGACAAGGTTTCTGGGATCTTTCATTCTGTATCATTGTTATGAACTGACTTACACCACCCCCAAACTCTCATACTGAAGAACTCTACCTTTCAGCACCTGAGAATGGGACTGTATTTAGGACCCTTAAAGGGGAAATAAGGGTTAATGAGGTCATGTGGATGGGGCCCTTGGTCTGATGTCCTCAAAAGAAGAGGAGGAAACATCTAGAACCCATGCACACAGAGGAAAGGTCACGTGAGGATATCGTGAGAAGACTGACCATCTGCAAGCCAAGGATATCGTGAGAAGACGGACCATCTTGCCACAAACCAACCCTAAAGGCATCTTGATCTTGGACTTCCAGCCTCCAGACTGTGAGCACATACATTTCTGTTGTTTAAGCGACTCAGACTGTGGTATTTTGTCACGGGAGACCTAGCAAACTAATATAATCACTCTTGGGTGGGAGGTCCCTAAAAATCAAAGGTTGTGATCAGCCCACCCATTCTAAGGAGAGGTGTTAGATAAGGTAGAGGAGCTTATTAAAGTGGGGCTTTTCCCTGGCAAGTGAGGGGCATTAGAACACCACTTGGGAAGTTTAAAGACTTGAAAACTCATGAACAAATCTGAGATGTCGCAGAGAAGCTGGCTACAGGGCCCTGACTATCTGAAGGTCACCTCAGGAATCCGGGAGCTGTGGAGGAGAGAGAAGGTATAAGAAGGCACTGCTGACATTAGGGTCTTGGGGAGCTACAGATGAATCTTTCTCCCTCGTGGATGGCTAGGTGGGTGGTTAGTGTGATCTCCCAACGCAACCTCCCAAGTCACTGCTACCTGACTCATTAGTCAGCTTCCTGTCACTGTAACGAAATACCTGAGAAATGCTAATTATTAAGTAAGGGGCAGTTAATTTTGGTGTGTGGTTTTGGAGTTCAAGTCCAAGACAGGGCAGCCCTATGGGCTTGAGCCTCTGGGGAGGAGGACACCTCTTGGTGGGAGTATGTGACACACATCGTAAGTGAGAAAGCAGACAAGCCCAGAGTTCCACAGCTCCTTTCCGGGACACTCTCACTGACTTAAGGTCCTCCAAATGGATCTCACCTCTTAAAGGTCTATGGCACCTCCAAATGTGACCTTGGGAACAAAGCCTTTACGCACGCATCTCTGGGGAAGCTCGTCCAAACCACAGCACCTGGTATTTGAAAATGGTCTTGTACAAAGCCTATCCCGCACCTTCCTCCTCATCCCATCTGGCCCACTGAGCAGGTGAACAGCAACCCAGCTGTCATAAAGGAGGGGGACTTCAACTACCATCCGTCTTGACCTGGTACCCGACACGGAGAAATGCATTCTCCTCTGTGCACTCTAACTTGGCAAAAACAAGGAAAGAAAAGGCTTTTCAGAGGTAAGTCATTTTTCTTACTGTATAGAGGGGAAGACCTTGAATCATTTTAGTTTAAAGAGCAGGTCCTTCATTTAAAATTCACTTCCCACTCTAATCAAAAATCATTTTTGGCCTCACAGACACAATTATTTTAGGTTTCACTCTCACTTAGGAGAAAAAGAAACCACACTAGCTAGTGAGGCTTCCGGTCCCCAAAGGTCACTACTAACCATTTCGTCGCGATTTTGTAAGGAGAATTTAATATCTTGTTCTCATTCCTTCTGTGCCAGTCACTAGTCAGAACAGAATTTCTTCCACACCAAAGTGCCAGGGCGTTTTTGATATGATGTTACCAAAACACTCTCTTGCCCATGGTCTCAGAAACTCCATTTACTCATTTGAGGTAGGAGATGAGGGCTTGGCACGAAATAGCAAGGTGGCTGTTGGGGAAAAGCCACCAGTATCCAGGTGTTTCTTTTAGGACTGGTGTTTTCACTGACGAGCAGAGCTGTGCGCGCACTCACCCTGGAAGAGCTGGATTAAGCGCGGCTGCACCGCGGCGGGGATCACGCGCTCGGGCAGCTCGCGCAGGAAGAGCTTCAGCAGGCTGGCGGCCGCGCTCACGTCCCCGACCTCCGCCAGCTCCACGCGCGCCCCGCTCTCCAGCTGGAGCCGCAGCTGCTGCACCAGCCTCGCGTTGCCGTTCACCCTGAAAAGGCCCTCCTGGGTGAGCCCTGAAACACCAGAATGGAGACAGCTCTCATAAACCATGCAAAAAACGAAGGAACAGCAACAGCAGAAGGTACACATCGCCAGCCAGGGTTCTCTGAACACAGCAAGTATCAATCATCAGAAGATTTTTGCATTTTATAAAAGTTTTCTTAGAATTGTAAGGTTTTTTTTTAAATTTATAACTGTTACTATTTTTTTTTATTGTTGTGCTGGGAATACATTGCAGCATTTACAAAAGTTCTTACAATGTATCAAATATATTGTACATGAATTAATTCTAGCTGGCCTCCATTCCTGGAATAGTTTCCACAGGGCTCATTTTTACATTTACATACATGTGTACACAGTGTTTGCTCCATACTCACCCTCCACCTTTCCCACCTCCTCTCCCCTCCCACTGATACCAACACCCCCAGGCAGGACCTGTTCTGCCCTCCTGTTCTCTGCTTTTGCAAATGAAACAAAAATATGACATCTTTGTTTGTTTAAGATAGCTACACAGGGAGTTTCCTTGCAACATTCCCATTTATATATGTATCATAACCCCAGCTGGTTCATCTCTTCCATTTTTCTTCTTTCTACTTTAGTCCCCTTCTTATGGTAGTTTCAACTGGTTTAAAAATTCTATATTCATTCTTGTATAGAAAGTACATCAGCCATATTCACCTTCTTAACTTCCTTCTTTTACCCTCTCCCTTTCCTATGTAACCTCCACTTAGAGTGACCTGATTTTTATAATATTGCTGTATCTATTTTAGGTCTATAATCTGCATTATGAGGGAGAACATGCAGCTTTTGGTCTTCTGAGCCTGGCTAACTTCACTTAAAATGATGATCTCCAGTTCCATCCACTTACTTGCAAATGACAAAATTTCATTCTTCTTCATGGCTGAGTAAAATTCCATTGTGTATAGATACCACATTTTCTTAATCCATTCGTCAGTAGTGGGGCATCTTGGCTGTTTCCACAGTTTGGCTATTATGTATAGTGTTGCAATAAACATAGGTGTCCAGGTGCCTTTGTTGTAACCTGACTCACATTCCTTCAGGTATTTCATATCTACTGCACATCAGCTAAAAAACTCACATACGACTATTAGGCAAGGTGACCTCTAAAACAAGGCAATGCCTTGTACAGAGAACATATAACATTACACAAGGAAATTTCATTTATATAATCTTATACACTACACAACTGAAATTCACCTAGCATTCCAGAAGGTCTAGGATTTTATAAATAGCTATTTTTTTAATGACATGTGATAAACTTCTGAGCTCTACGTGATTGTTAGCAGAGTTTTGGGCTAAAAGCCCAAACTCCAGAAGTTCCAACAAACCAGGCTCAGCCACTCATCCCAACAGGACAATAAAGAGAGGAGAAGTGGCTCAGTGTAGTGTGTGATGATGTCAGGAAACAGACAAGGGGCATCAGTGAACCCCAAGTCTGTCTTCAGGGTACTAACATGAGCTTTACGTTTAAACAGAGGAAGAACTGGGGCAAGGGACCAGAGGAATGCAGTCTCAGTCAGTGATGTGGTATGATTGCTCCTTATTTCAGTTCTGGTCCTGCAAGATGGTTGGAAGAAGTCCTTATCACTGTGCCTTGGGGGTAGTTTCAGTCTCTTGTCATAAACATGTTTATCAATCAGCCCTATCTTCCCAGAATCCAAGATGACTGAAGGTTTAGGACAATGACTAGAGATTTTCAGGTGCCTTTTGGGGGGGCATGAGATGGGTTAGATTTTACTGGTTTTCAAACAAACACTCCTTCAGCAATTAACCTGCCTAAGTGCAGAGTTAAGCAGGTGTCTGACCCAGTGTTTTACCATAAAGGAGACAGATGCAAAAGGAAGTCAGCATGCTAGCTTTTCTGCTCTTAGGTAACTTGTGGGCCCAAACGAGGAACCAGTGCTCTTTTTAGCAAAAGCAGCTTCTAGGTATATTTGTAATAATTTAAGAAATAACTAATACTTCTTCTATAGTTAGGAATCACTCGATCTAAAATGTAAGACTCTATGAGAGTACAGAGGGGTGTAAGATCCTTGCTTCAGTCAAGGACATTGGTGGCAGTGAGGTAACAGGGAATGCTTCATGAAGGACCTTAACCTTGGACTAAAGCATAGGCAACATGGACGGAGTAGGGCTGATATACAGTGATACTAATGAAGCTTGACCTTCAGACCCTGGCTATGGTTTAAGTGTCTTTTCCCTCCAAACTCATGTTGAAGTTTCACTGCCAATGGAATGGTATCAGGAGGTGAGGTCTTGATGTGATCATGGGTTCATGCCATTACTGTGGGAATGGGCTTGTTTGAACAGGTGAGAGCACACCCCTTCCTTTTACTCTCCCTCACTCCCCTTCTGCCCTGTGAGCATGCTGCAAAAAGGCCCCAGCCAGATGGCAGCCTGGGACTTCCTGGCCTCTGAAACATTTCTGTTCGTCATAAATTACCTAACTCTCAAGTATTCTCTTACAGCAGCGCTAAACGGACAAAGACAGGGCAGGTTGCTTTCCTGGACCCTTAGCAAGCTCTGACCCTAATTCTGTATTATTGTTATATTTTCTTTCTTAAAGAGGTCTCAAAGGATTGCAATAGTCAGGATGGTCAATGTCCCCTGCATGTCTATAGTCTTAGTTCCCAGAAAGGTTGTATCAGGAGGTACCACAGAAGTTTAGGAGACAGGGCCAGTCATTGAACCTTAGGTCACTGGGGACATGCCACCAAAACGAACTGTGGGACCCTGGATCCTCTCTTTTTTCTTCCTGGCTGATGTGAACAATTTTGTTCTACCACATACTTCTTCCATGGCATGCTACCTTGTCAGAGGTTCAAAGCAATGGAGCCACTTACTCTTGAACTGGCACCTCTAAAATCATGAGGAAAAAGTCCTTTTTCTCCTTAAAAATTAATTGCCTCAGCTATTTCATTATAGTGAAGGCTGACAAATGCAAGCATTAAGCATCAGGATTCAACAAAACCTTGATCTACCCTTGACAAAGAGGAACAAAAATATAAATTGAGCCAGAGACAGGAGAGCCTACAGTAAGGTAGGCAAATGAAAATGTGGGATACTGCCAGGTGTGGTAGTGCACACCTGTAATCCCAGCATTTGGGAGGTTGAGGCAGGAGGATTTTGAGTTTGAGACCATCTGGGGCTACATAGTGAGTTCTAGGCCAGCCTGATCCGCACAGTAAAACACTGTCTTATGTTATAAATGATATAATTTCTAATCTGTGTTATATATATACATAGGTAAAATGTATATATATTATCAATCTATCTATCTGTATGAAGAAAAAGAAGGCGAAAGAAAGAAAAAATATGAGGTATTTAGGTCAAAGAGCAATGGGGTAATGGATACGAAAGGATAGGGCCTATGAGTGTCAAGGTAAAAAATGAAGACTCAACACTGGAGCGTTAGGCTTTAAGGAAGACTTAGCTAGCTCCCAAGCAGAGAGTGGTGAGGGCAGAAACATGCCTTGGGAAGAGTAGGGCCCTCTGTCATGAAGCAGTAAGATTGAGATTACAGTGGAAATGGAGTGAAGGAGAGATTAAAATGATTGGGTAAGTTAGTACAAAAGGAAGTTAAGGAGGCAGGGAGAGGTGAAAGGTTACTATAAGGGTTGAGAAGTAGAATCCAGGCGAAACCACTGAAAAGAAGTGAGGGGTGGGAACTGATTGCCAGCTCAGTGTAAGAAGTGTGTCAGAATGTGGAGGAGCGTTGAAGGTATAAGAAAAACTGTCTTTAGAAACTGTATTTTAGGCCAAGGACAGAACCCTCTTCTGAGAGTCTAGTGGTATGTGTTAGCAAAGACACAGTCACTGAGGCCAACCGGGCTATTCTAGAGGGGAGAGGACTGTGTTTTTGCTTCCTTCTCTTGCCTGTTAATCACGCTGTTCTTTTAAGCAAAAGAGGAAGCTACTTTTTTATTTTAATTTATAACTTGATAAAATACCTTATGGACCCTTTTATTCAATAAATATTTAATGAGTGCCTAATATAGAACTATGTTACTTAAAAAAATTTTTTGAAAAAAAAAAGATTCAAACACTATCATTACCCTGATGGTGTTCATGGTCTGATGAGATGTTTGTGGTCACCCACAAATACCTATTACTTGGCTGTGAAGAACATCAATATCAAAAGTAGACAAGAATTTGAGATCTAATTTTGACAAAAATTGTGAAACCAGAAATGATACTGAAACTATCTAGGGGGAAAAAAAAACCAGGGCAGCATGGGAAAAGATGTATTTTTGAGGACAGTGATTGAATGAGAACTCTGGAAATAGCAAGGAAGTGATAGGAACCCTAAACAGCAAAGAGAGGAGGAACAGCAGCCTAGAGGAAAGAACAAAGCAAACTGCAACCTTAGCCCTGACTCCTGGGATCGGGGAGTGGGAGCTGTACACTGTAGGGAGGGGTAAGCAGAAAGTGTCGTGTAGGCAATTCCATGGTAGCAGCAGACTGGCAGCCCTAACAGCAAGAGTCCCATGGTCCTCATAGACTCCAAATCCAGGTTGAGGAGCAACTGTTCTGCTCCAAAGAAGGAGCTGCCCTAACCTCCAGAACCCAAGCTACAGCAGCCACTGTTAGATGCCATCTTGTCTTAGGGACTGGCAGCCAGCCCACTGAAGCTGTTAAAAGCCATGGGCTTATAAGCATCTCACCAAGTAAAAGACAGCCTCTCTAGTGTCTTGTAGCCTCAGGACCAGCAACTGCCACAGCTACAAGCCTGAGTCCCACCTGCACTTACCTTGAAGGAATGAGGGAAGGTCTCCTTCCTAGCCCACAACCCTTGAGACTGTAGCTCCTGGTGCAAAGTCCCAGTTTCACCCATGTCTGCCCATTAGGAGCTGAGAAAGGTGTCCTACAGCTCCAGGAACTTGGCTACCAGAGGCCCCACGCCCTGGCACCACCTACACTGGCTCTGTGGGAAATAGAAAAGGCCCTGCTTCCCAGCCCACAGCCTTTCAACAGAAGCTGCTGGAGCAGAAAGCTCTAATATCACTTGTGCTTGTTCCTTGGGATGTGGAAAAGGTGTCATCAGGGCCCCACAATTCCAAACAGTGGTTAGCAGTGC